GGGATGTGTTGGGGGGCAGAGGGGGCACCAGGCTTCATCGGCCAGGCTACAAGGCTGGGGGGAAGGGGTGGCAGCAGGTGCTTGCTTGTGTGTGTTTAGGGGATGGGGCTAAGATACACCCTTTTTGGTGTGTAAGTCCCACCCCCCGGCAAGCAGGCCACGTCCTCTACTCACTATTGCCCTGTGCCGGTGGCTGGTCCACCCCTGCCCCCCCCGAGGACGATCTGCATGCTTTCTACCTTCCACCCCCAGCTCAACCCCAAGTTCAGGGCTGGGCTGGGGGGGGTGGGGGGGTGGAGCCAGGGCGTGGCTCTGCCCCACCCATTTTTCCATCTCAGTTGCAAAACAGGGCATATCTTCTCCATGCCCCAGGTGCATCGGCTCCACTGGGGCAGCAGGGGAGGGGTACTTCTGGTCCCTGGGTTTCAGGCCCTGAACTCCTTTGGGGTGGGGGGTGGGGCACCGCCTTCCATTGCCCGCCCCCCCTCATCAGCCTGCCCTAGAGCTAGTAGAGCTGGTCCTGGCCTCTGAACGGGGCCCAGAGCCCTCTGCTGGCCATGCGGCATGAACCCTTCCCCAGCCTCCTGACTGGCATTGGGGGTCTTACCCCTTCTTGCCCCATGGCAAAGGGTGGTACTGGCCAAAAACTGGGGGTGGGGGGGGGTGAGGAGGTGGGAGAGAGAGAGGAAGGGACCCCTCCCTTTAAAAAAATCGAGAGGGGTGATTTTTGCCAAAGGGAGGGTAGAGCTTCCTCTCTCTCTCTCTCCTCCCTCAATGCCACGTTGCAGCCGAACAAATAAAGATGACAAGAACTACTAACGAAACAAATAATAATAATAATAAAAAGGCTGAAAACAGTTTTAAAAAAATGTAAAAAAAAAAGGGACAAAAAAAAAAAGGGAAAAAACCTCTATTTTTATAAAAAAGGAGAAAAAAAAAAAAAACCCTCCCCTGCCCACCTGCTGGGCTTTTTACTGGGATTCTCGACAAAAACAGAAAAAAAATCCACAAAAACAAACAAAAACAAAAAAACAAAAAAACAACCCCCCCCACCCCTTTAACCAACGAGACACTGCCCCTTTTTTCTGTTTAAGGCAGCTTGGCTGGCACTGGGGTCTGGGACTGGGGGCAATACCCACAAACCTTGTCTGCCCCCTGCAGTGCTGGCTGCTCCTGGCGAGCGGAGGGGTGTGGGGTTGTGGGAGTTTGATGGTGGACCTATGAGAGGGAGATGGAGTGGGGTTGTGGGATGGACACACACACACTCACTCTCTCTCTAAGGGGACACATACTTATCCAGAACCCAGGCATCCAGGAGACACACATGCACACACACACCCAGAACCCTGGACACACACACCCACACCCACCCCCAGAGCTCACACACACACATGCACGCACGCCTGCCCCAGGCATCTGGGACACCCCCCCCCAAGTATCTGACACCCATGGAACGCAGGCATGCAGGACATGGACATGCAGATTGACATGCACACATGCACAGAACCCATGTGTGCAAGACATGGACATACATCCACCCAGAAGACAGGAGTATAGAACATGTGCACATGTGCGCGTGCACACACACACACACACACACACACACACATGCAGCCCACACCTGCAAACAGACATGGAACCCAGCTGTCCAAGACTCATGCAGAACGTATGAGTATGGAACACATCCACATGTGCATACAGACCCCACCACAAGCCAGTATGGGACACATCTGTCCACATGCACACAAGTACACAGTCTGACGCATGCACATAGGCATGAACGTGTACACACACAGCTCCCCCCAGGCATCCAGGAACACACAAACCATAAATACCTGCATGCGTCCACATACACACAATGTATGCGTGCGCAGAACCCTGGCATCTGATACGCACACGGAACCCAGCTGTCTGGGATACATGCACACACAAGGAACCTGGGTGTCCAACACACATGCACATGGAACCCAGGTGTCCAGGACGCCCCCCACCCCATGCACATGCCCAAGCCCAAGCCCATCTGCCCCCCACTCGGCTCCACCACTGCCTGCCCAAGCCGCTGTGTGTTTCTTTTTCCTTCTTTGCATTTGCTGCCGTCTCCGTGGGTTTTGCCTTGAGTTGATTCCGCCTTTGGTTTGCCGCCGTGTCTGTCCGTGGGAGCAGAGATGCCCTGTGCCCAGGGCCAGGATGGGCCTGACCTGCCCCTCAAGCCCGTGCCAGGGAGATGCCCCCCCATGGCTGCCGCCAGCCGCTGTCACAAGGACACTGAGGCCTCTAGTTCCTCACTATCTTTGGCTTTTGTTTCCAATTTCCCTCGGTTCCTGCCTTAGTTCTTAGGCTTCTCCTGAGTTTCTCGCCGTGTCGCTTCACTTGTGTTTGTGCCGTCGTGGGAGCTGCTGTTTGCAGGGAAAAATGAGGAAGACCCCCCC